AGAATAATAGTGGTAGTAATAGCGTAATAGTAACGATAGGTAATGTATAATTTGGGAAATGTCGGTGGTGGTGATAGAAGTGATAGTGGTAGTTAGAATAATAGCAGTGATAATAGTAGGATTAGTGTTACTGTTGTTGCTGTTGTAAAATTAATAATAGGGTGTCTACCAAACACACCTTCGGTAGAGACCAACGTTGCTAAAATTTTCGATCGCCTCGTGACATTGCTTTTTCATTTTCCTCGTTTTGATATTCGTCAAAATAGTAAAACCAATAGTTTAAACATTGTAGATAATAATTACTATCTATATCACAGATTCAAGTGACTAAACTCCTTTAAAAATATAATATAAATATGTGTACGTGTCGTAATGATTCGCATAATATATATACACACATATACATAGATGTAGGTAGGTATATATGTATATATACACTCGCAGAGACGTGATTAAAATCAGGCGAAATAAGAGTGCTGAAATCACGGAGACTCGTAGAAACGTTAAACGCTTCGGTTTCAACTAGCATCGCATACGGATAGCGGTCGATTCATTAAAACGATCTGTGCCAGCACGATTTTATTATCCAACGATTAAAAACTCTTCTTTAATCGGGTGCTATTCAATCCCATGTTAAAAAATGTTTATGACTATAAAATCCATTAGATATACAAAGAGACACAAAGTAGCAAACATTTATCGAACAGTAGTCACTTCGCAATTGATCGAGCTAAGTCGTCGTATCCCTCCTAAACCGAAACTGAGATCGTATTTCTTAAACCGTGACGAGCGAGCATCCGTTGTTATGAACCGAAAGTGGATGCTCGATAGGCACTTTGATCAACCGACGCGATTAAATAGCACCAATATCACTGATATTTTTGTTCGCATTGGAGGTCAAGCGATGCTAGATGAAAACTTGCGTTTTTAATTATTACGCTGCATATATTCCGAGTACGAAGTCGCGGGGCTCGTATTCGAGTACTGAGCGTATAAATAGAGTGCGGGATGAAGCCCTGGCGGAGGGATGCCGCGGTGCAGCTGATGTTGCGACTCCGATGTTGGATCTAGAGGGGACGACAAATGCGAATAGAGTTGGGAGTTGGGGCTTTCCAAAGAATTGGAGGAGCCCGTCGTTTGGTAGACACTCTGCGGTGTGCTCGTGTGCTCGGTGTGAGATATAGGTGAGTTAAGTGTGAACGGCGAAGACGCCGAGGTGGGACATACTACTTGCTGTGGTGATTGATGTTGCGGCAGGGACTGAGTAGCGCTGCTGCTGTCTAAACACTAGTTGGTGGTTTGCGGATGCAGCAGCGGTAGTGGAAGCTGTAGATTGTTCTGCTTGGCTAAACTGGCAATCTCCGCGGCGATGCCCGTGCCTTTAGCTCCTGCGAGACCGTCCAATGACGACGGTCCTTCGCTGTAGCGCAGATCACAGACCGGGCTCTCAAAGCCGGTGCCCGGAGTACCGGCACCGCTGCTCTGCGGCGTCGGTGGATTGTGATTCGTGCTCTGAGTCATGTCACGGTGCACCCGGTTTTGATGCCTTATCAAATAACTGTCGCGTACAAATGTACGTCCACAGAGATTACACTCGTAAGTGGTACTGGCGGTATGTGTACGGATGTGAATCGCAAATTGACTTTTGGACGTGAAGGTGAGAGAACATCGGTCACAGACCAGAGGCTTCTCGGCTACATGGCTCCAACGGTGCGCGGTGACGTAGCTCTTGACAGCGAAACGTTTGTGGCAAATGTCGCACGCATACGGTCGTTCGCCCGTGTGCACTCGTTTATGAGTATTGAGACTGCTCTTTTGAGTAAACCTTTTCAGACACAGCTCACATTGAAAAGGTCGTTCGCCCGTGTGCGTCCTCATGTGCACTTCTAGATAAGGTTTGCGGCAAAAACTCGCCTCGCATACTGTACAATGGTAGGGCTTGTTCCCTGAATGAAGTTTCATATGCACATAATAGGACGAAGCGGAGGACAGTACCTTGCCGCAGACCTTGCAAGGTTGAGGTTTGGACCGTGAGCCCTCTTTAACAGTTTGTTGGCCCGTAGACTGACGACTTGGTGACTCTTGTTGCATACCCTGACTCTGCTGTTGCTGATTCTGTTGCGGTTGTTGCTGACTTTGCGGCTGGCCCTGTTGTTGCTGACTTTGCTGCTGATTCAGCTGCAACGTTTGCTGCTGAGGCTGCAGGTGACCCTCTTGCTGGGAAAGCTCCTCTCGATCGTCGGACAGATTCACCAAGGAATTGGATCCATCTGAACGACTGGAAGCAACCGAATAGAACCCCATGGGCTCGCTCTTGATCTGTTGATCGAACATGGACGTCATAATGACAGTCTGCTGCTGTGGTTGAGCCAGCTGAGACTGCTCGTCCTGCTGCTGTGCTGCTTGCTGATGGGGGAGCAGAGTCAGGTTGCGCTTGACAAACTGCTCATATCCTGTGTACCAATCCACCTGCGTGTGAGAACAAAACTCTAGAGCGTGGTACGCCCTGGGGGCAGGAGAGAAAGGAAGAAGAAAAGAAGCGGCGTCACCCAAGCGAGTTATCCGCGGACGTCTACGCTGCGCATACGGCCGCGTCAGGTTAGACCAACAAAGTTCACTTTGACATTTATCTTTGACAAGTGACAGAAGGTAGCTGGACGATCAGCTGATTGCATAACTTTTACCCGCGGGGCGCGTCGCGCACGGCGCGGACGCCACCGCGGAAGCATCGCCGGGGTCTACGATAACGAGTGACGCGAGCCGCTCTATTTTTAATAGAGCGGCCGATGGAGAAACGGCGGAAATATAATCATCGTCGGCGAGACCGGATTTCTCCCGCGAGTGGAGGGGATAGTTCGTGTCTGTTGTATGCGCGTCTCCTCGGTGGAAAACCGATTAGACGCACTCGCCGCTTCCATACAAACCTTTGCTAATGTAGTGGTCCAGGTTTAGGGTTGAAAAACGTCGCGCCTCATCGAGCGCACCGCCTCCCTGCGTCGTGCGGCTTCACGGGCAATCGCGAAACATTTGTACGGCCAAATTGTTTTTCTCCGACACAAAATATAAGATGGCTGCTACTATATTTCGCGACAGGCACCTATACGCGCGCACGCACACGCACACGCGAGCACCGCCGTCAAGCAGCACGCGCACCAACGTGCACCGAGCCGTTTTATTGGCTACTCGCCTTAGGCCGCGCCCGCCGCCATTGTCTTCGACTCCCTCGCGATGATTGGATCGTACTGCGTGTGCGACATTTATACTGCCTATAATCTGTTAACTTATGCTATAATCCGTAAGAATCGACCAATCATATTCGAGTATTCCCCTCTTATTCGATTATAATTGGTCGATTCTTACAGATTATGACAAGTATAAATGATCCTTAAAAATCGAACAATAGTCGATTATTCCCCTCTCATTCAACTATGATTGGTCAATTCTTACAGATTACATAAATTAACGCAGATTACGGTCAATATAAATTAATCTATAAATTAATCTCCTAATCTCATTAATCCTCATGGCTATATATGCGACAATATAAAGGGAAATCATAAATATATAGATAATCGAAAAAATAAGAATTCTCCAACTCAACAATAGTCTAGATGCAAAAACGTAAATATTTGAGAAATACAATAAACCGATAACGGATGCATGTGAACTGTGTATTCAATTTTATTAACATTACGTGAAATTATAAACTTTATAATAACAATTTGTCAAAACAAAAGTGAAGTCATGATCAGACTAAATCGAGATTGAGATTGGAATTGGAATTTAACCAATCGGAAGAACGAAAACTGTCTAAATTTGAGATTACTAGTTTTCATTCTTTTGATTAATTAGTAGCTTGAAAAACAAGAGTATATTATCTTTTTATATGTGCTGTCTCACTGTAGGGCAGTCCCGGACAGATTTTTGTATAATGCCAAAAAATGAATTAATTAAAATCCTTCTTTCCTGTCTTTCTTTATGAAATAAAAAACTCTAATTAATTGATTTTCTTACGTCCTTTGTGCAAGATTCTGCATTGTGCTCCTGTCTTATAGAATATATCCGCACAACTTGTACAGTCGTATAAACATATGCATAAAGAAAATTATCCAATCACATTTTACTTTATAAGAGAAATGAATAATTTTCTTTATGCATACGTTCATGTAGCTATGCAAGTTTGTGTGGATATATCCTTAATATTATCTTATAATAAATTCGATTACTTGCATCACTGAATCAATGCATACAGAGAGATGATACATATTAAAAGCTGCTTTATATAAAATATCTCAATGCAGTGATACAGTATAATCAACTTTGACAATGAAATGATATATATATGTTTTGTTAAATAACGTAACATCATTAGTAGATAATCCTTTATAATATTTATATACCTTTACATTTAATTTTGCTAATTTTATATATAGCAGCTTTTAGTTTGTACTGATTTAGTGTAGTATGTACATACAATGATTGAATTCACTATTATTCATTCTAACTTTGGGCGAATTCTTTAATTCATTGATTGATCAATCACGTTATGCATAAATATAATTTGTTCCGTAAAAGTTGTATTTGCACATATGCGATTGATTAATCAATAAATTAAAAAACTTGTCCATATTAAAGTTAGCAAAAATAATGACAAACCAATAAAAAATTTGTCATTTGTGGCCTCTGTTATATAAGGATCTCCATCCGATGACGGTATAAAACAACCATTCAAAGACTTAATAAATAAGTACCATAACAAATATGTTGTCATAACAAGAGCTTGATACCCTTCGCATGACACGACACATGAAAATTTATAAAATCCATGACAAGGGATACAACGGAGCAGCCAATGGCATTCGCTCTCTGTGAGAGAATGGGAGCGTCTCATTGGTCGTGTCTCAATCGTCCATAGACTTCTTCGTTAGCTGCACCATTTGCACTTTTCAAATAGGAAATGAAATGGATAAACATACGATCAAGTATTGGGAGGGACGAGTGTCGCGACAGGTGCAATTCTCAACAGCTAGCTTAGCTAGATTGTATATACGAGGTCGCACGTTGATGTCGGTCTGTCCGAAGGAACGGTGATTTGAAAATCGCTATATTTACACGACGATTCTTGGAACGGATCAAAAAAAATTGTATTCTCACAACAGCAGCTTATACCGATCGACTTTACGGCAGAACTGTAACGGTAATTATCACATGTCAGCACATTTGATATTCCGACGAAACAGCCAAGTTACACCGATTTAATATCCGTATTACCTTAGCGCAAACGGCGTACAAGTATCGACGATAGCGCGCGCGCAGTGTGTGTGTGCCGGAAGAAATTTTACGTTAGAATAAGGCCTTTTGTACGACGATAGATACGGTATATTGTACATGTAATAATCCCTTCCTAGATAATACGTGCAGAGATACATTCGCTTTTGATGTCTACTCCAGAAAGGCACGCGCTATTGTATTCGAGTCAGCTTCAACGGAAATGTGTCTCGCTCGAAAGAGCCTTGGTTAACATACGTTTAATGTATTTTAGATTGGGAAAATGGCTGTACCATCAGAGAACGTTATGAATACAAACCTCGACGATCCTGTAACAAAGGCAGTGGTCGATAATATAATGGGTAACCTGCCTACAAAAAAACCTCTCGTTCGATGCGAAGACTGTGACCTTTCCTTTACAAGTCAGGCAGTATTAGATACACACTTACAGGGTGCACGTCATGCCAAACAAGTCAGTAATAAGTAGAGACAAACGTAAGATTGAACACATGGGTTTTTTTTTATTATTTAATGAAATGATATTACAGGTAAGATCTAAGAATATAATGGCAACTCTTGAGGAAACAAAGATCTCATTTACCAAGGATGAAGAGACAAATGGACTCAAATGCAATGTATGTAACGTGTGCCTGAATTCAATTCAGCAATTACAAACGCATCTCAATGGTAATGAATATAATATTATTTACAATATAAATCAGATCATAAATTCAGCATAAAACATTATAAAATTAAGGTAATATTAAAAATGACATGAAACATGTATTTGCAGGAAGCCGCCATAAAAAAAAATTAATGAGAGGTAATAATAAATCTTATATGGTAAGAAAAACACTGCCATATGGCCTTAAAACTAATCGCTTCATGTACCTGGATAAAATAGAAAAAAATACAGTTGTATTAGTTTATAGTTTAGTATTGTTCGCATTCGCATGCTTGACGCTATTGCTTACTTTTGCTTTTCACTTCTTTCTATGAATTAACTATGTAGAATTAACTTGCTTGCCATTCGCATAATTTTTTATTGTTGTAGAATTTCAGTGCTAGTAAGCGCTTAGTAATAATTGCAATTTGTTGTTATTCTGCGTTATTATTTATTATTATTTATTTAATATTTAATTATTATTGAAAGATAAGTAATATTATATTCGTTTGCTTATTAACATGTTATCGTGAAAAACAGTTTGGTCACGACTTGTTTGCATATGTTATATTTAATAAACTAAGTTTGTTTGACTGTACCTCTTAATTCCTTCTCATGTACAAATTTTACATATGTATTACTTTTTTATTAATATTGTTGTGTTATAAAAATATTTTTGTTATTTTTTTAATGACTGCTTTATATATGAAAAATATTTCATGAAAAATAAAGAACAACAAATAATGCGAGTTATTAAATTTCCATGTAATGATATTGTATAGATATATATGTATATATATTTATATGTGTGTTGCATATTTTCCTAAATTTACATTTTTATTTTAATTAAAAAAAATTGTTTCATAATCTAAAACAAAATTTTTTGAAAAATAAAAATTCTGTAAATTTTAAAACAATCATAATATACATTAATACACACACACACACACATATGTATATATACATATATAAATATTATAAATAGTATGTAAAAATCTATTTGATAAAAATATTCTGTAGGTATTTATATACAATCCCTTATATTGCTATAAAAAGTTTGTAAATTAATGGATTATTTTCGCATGAAAATACACTTTATTTTTACACGTTACAGAGATACTCTTAGTAATTATATATTCCTGATATTATACGCTCATTAATGACCAATCTTTTTATAGCATGAATGTAGTGTTCAAGCTGATTTATTATCACAAATTACCGCTTCTGCGGCTGTGATATATAGATAGTGTTGATCGCACATTGATGCTTAGGTGAATGGGATGGGAAAGAGTCCCAAGGTCCTCCATTGAAGTCGCCTACTGGTACTAAATTGTCTGTTGCCAGGAAAAATGACTACCTTAAATGCGATATATGTAACAAATTCTTCAACTCTGGATCTCAATATAGTGTGGTACAATATTTTTACATATATATTTGTGCATATCTAATTTTATCTCAAGATAAAGTTTATCTCACTTTATACAGTATTCATATAATATATTTCATATAATTATATAGAAATGTCGAGAATGTACCACAATGTATGATATATTTAAAATTTAATATCGCCCATTTTTATATATTTGCAGCATATGAATTCGGAGAAACATGCTGACAAAGTGAGGAGATCTTTTAAAGATCCGAATAAATCCAAAGCATTTGTTCCATATTGGAGAAGACCAAAACACCCAAGAAATACGACTCCCAAGCAACAGATACCATCTCTGTCACTCAGCTTTGTATCTGGCAATTTTACATATCCGCAATAAGTTACATAATTTGCACATCTCATTTAAGTTATATTCGAGATCGTTTGAAATAATGTTGTCCTATTAACTAATAAATCATGATCATATAAATATAACGTAAATGTAAATATACATAAGTAATTTTAATTTTCATAAATTTTAAATCATTGAAATATTTTTATTCAGAAGAAAAGAAAACAAGAATTTCAAATAATATATAAAAGCAATCAAGTTGTAATCTCCTTAATATTAAGATTAAATAATTCAAAAGTTTTTGTAGAGTTCATCTTTTGAATCATTAGATAAGATAATAGATTATTGTCCAATAAAACTTACAAAATTATGTATATAGTGATATAATGTATATTTACATTTCACTCTGTATGTCAAAAAACGGTATACTAAATTTAATGAACTACAATTAATTGAAATTTAAATCAAATGTATTTACAAGTATTAACCTAAGTCGCTTCACGAATAGATCGTGCATCATTTTGCAAGAGTCCATCACATTCACACTAAAAAAGTATGCAAGTTATTAGTATTTCAAATATTTTTTAATATAATATGATATTTAATATATATTATTTGCTGGCATTACTTGGATTGTATATGTTTTCAATAAACGGCGTAATTCTGCATTTTGCGTTCGTAAAGATTTCACTTCGATATTCAAATTATGTCGTTCTTTTAATATTTCGTGATACTTATTAAGTCCTATTAATAAGCCATCCCAAAGTTGTTCTTTTTTGCCTGGGAAAATTTCATTATATCGATCCCAAAAATCTGTTATGTCTTGAACTGTCATATTTCGCGATACGATTGTTTTTTTTTCTGTTAATTTTTCTTGAAATGTCTCTGGCATCTCTTGCCATTTAACAAAATGATATCTTTCTACGAAGTCTCGTAACGCTCTACTGACAAACATAGTTTCTATTTCAAGCAAATGTCCCTTGTCGCACAATAAGCGTCGTTGCATTTGATCATCGTCTGTACAAAATGAATAAAATTAATATTATTAATTTTATTAATATAAAAATTTTTTGGACTTTTATATACACACATACACACACACACACACATATAATTTCTGTTCATTAAAGTCGGAAGTGAAAGTGCGCGTACCCTTAACGATGTCACTAATAGATCCATCAGAAGTTGAAGTGCATTCCGCGATAGGAAGTAACGTTCCAGTTGACGAACTTCGAGATGAAGTACCTATAATACTCACTTCGTCACTAGGAGTAGATAATTGTTCATCATAGATTGCTTCTTTCACGGTGGCAATTAATTTAGCTTTATCTTTCGTGAATTCCTCAGCATTTCCACAGACGTCTGCTTGTTCAACGCTAATATTTCAAATATTGCTTACAAACTTATTAAAATACGTTATTTAGTTGTAACTATTTACTCACTCCGTTTTCAGAAAAGGAGGTTCCTCGGTAAATCTGCTTATGTCTTTGCTTATGTCCTTACTACACATAGGACAATATGCATACGGCAGAAAAAAATTTAAGAGAAAGCCAAGTTCCTTCTCGGACTTGATATTTAAAGCCTAATAATATACAACAATGTTATAACGAAATAAAATGGGATGTCTTTCATGCATATTTACCTGAAATACATTATCTAATCGTATGATCAGCTGATCATTCGTGGTGTAAGGTAAAAGTAACTCGAGCAATTTATCTTCGATTAAATAGTCACAACGATCAGAAATTTGCTTTATGATACGATTTAATAATTGTCTTTCTAAATTGATTTCCTCAATGGTGCTCGCCGGTTTGTAAGCTTTACATATTATTTTTTTCTCGTTGATCAATCTGTTCTCTTAAAGAAACATGCACTTGTTAGAAAATTTCATATGCAATCGATTAAAAAGATGTTTAATTTTGTTACCTTCTTCTATTGCACACATCACATTATGATAAGATGGTAAATCTTCCTTTTTTAATAAGGTTTTTTCAGGTGGCTTCCATTCCATGCGCAATAGTTGTTCATATATAACTTTGTCAGCGTTTAAAATCTAAAATATGTTATATTTTTAACATCAATGCTATTAAAATATTTACCTTAATATACTTTATCAAGCAGCTCATTTGCTTTTTCCTCATTCATATCCCAAATTTGTATAAACTTCTTATCATTGATTCTTGTGAAGTGGTTCGATTTTTCTATTAAATCCAAAATATTCTTGTGCGTTTTTATAACTTGATCAGTTAACTTCTGTATCTCAAGTCTCGTCTTTTCTTCTAACTCCGCATAATTTTTTTTCAAACCATTGACAATATCTTGAAGTCTGAAAAAAACGCCAATTTATCGGTTAATCATAATTAATTCAGCGATCTCTAGGAATAGCTTCGCTATATTCAGTATAAAACAATTTAATTTGCATTCAATACCGACTTATTAATTCTTCTCTTTTGCTGATTTTTCACTATAGCGTTTTCGTCTTCTCGTCGCTTAAGCACGGCGTAATTGTAATCTAGTTTCTCGATGTTCATGAAACAAAGCGCTTTCATGTTCTCCACCTCCTGTTCAAGCTTCTGTATCTCAAGTTCGAAACTAATTTTCTGCGCCCGGAATTCCTCTTCATGCTCAATCATTACTTTCTTCATCTCTTCCTCGTACTCTTGCATTATTTCCTTCCGTCTGTCTAATCCCGCAAGACTATCCTCCTGTAACTTTTTGTACAGCGCTTCCCATTTCTCCGAAAGATTTTCCAGCAGCATTTTATACTCCGAGTCTATTGCGTCATTAATAAGCGATAATTCGCGACGATAAGCTTTAGTCATGATATTCATCTAAATAAAATATACGAGTCCTTAATACATTAAGTTACATATTAATGTGATTGCCAATTATTTGTATATCTAACTTGATTGTCTATCCTATTGATTAATAAATCTATATCCTCATTTTGACTTTTCTGGTCATTAACAAATTTAAGATCGGCGTTCTCCAACTCTTCTCGCAACTGCTCGATGATGGCGTCTTTCCTCTCCAAGATTTCCAGACACTTGGCATTTTGGGCTTCCATTTCCGCGTGTATGTCTAATGGATCCTTAGTTGCAAGAATGTCTGACCACTTCTCGTTGATCTTTCGGTATCTTTTCATGCATTCCTCGTCATCTTCCTCAAGCTTCTTCAGCAATTCTCTTCGGATTTCCTGCGCTTCCCTTCGTCGCTGTAGCTCCCTAGCGTCATTCGCTACTTTCACTGACGTCACCTACACATGAATTTATTTAACATTATTTTGATGTTTTCTTTTGTTAGTATTGATAATATATCATGAAAATATAGAATGAATAATTAACAGATCCAAATCTGTGAATCGAAATAAATATTTTTTTGTACCAACCACTTCGTCACCCTCCAACGACAAGTTTTCCATCAGGTTCGAGCTAGCAAGTATTTGTTTCTCAGTGAGTGTCTTCTCGATGATTTCTTCATCTTCAATATCTAATTTTCTATAAAAGAGGTATATATTTATAATTTGATATGAAAAGGAGTCCGATTCTTTAATGCTATAAAGTAAGAAACAAAAGTGCATGAAAATACGAATATAGTTATGCAATATCATATAATATCACCCAAGTAAAACATATTACATATTGTGAGCAGATTGTTTAATTTTTAAGGAATATTTCTAAAGAGTTGAAAAAATCAAGATTTGTGAATCTTTCCAAATTTTATTATAAATAAATTCAAACTGAATTATTTAAACATTAAAGATCCAGCTTGATTATTCAGGACTTTTATTTCCTATTTATTATGTGTTTTTAAATTTTAATTGTAATCCAAGCATGAAGGAAAAATTCTTACTTAGCTAGTACTTCTAGGTGCCGTTGAATGCGGATGCGGCGCGCTAATTTGCGCTCGTTCGGGTCCAATGACGTAATAGACAGCTCTTCTGCATCTTCCGCGAACTCGGGATATCTGTCATCCATTATATTTGTTCCTTACTCTCCTTCACTACAAACGTGCGAAATAGTAAAATGGCAGAAAAATCGAATTAAATCAAGAAAAATTCAAAAGAATTCTAATTTGACGTGTGTTTAGAATGACAGCGGCTATTTATATATTATGCCGAAACAATAAAATGTCTCAACATAAGCAAATGATCTTTTTTTCTGTATTATAATAAACGAGACATCATGGTGTTTGTTTGCTCAATATTTGGTCGCCAGGTCAAAGCGACGATACGAACGCGATTTCCGCGCATCACGAAGCATATAACCAACAGGAAAAAAAAGAGAAATATTTGTCTTCTTTTTCTTTTTTCCTTTTCCTTTTTCCATTGCCATCGTTTGAAATAATGTTTTCGAATCGCACATAGCTAAATGTGTATATGATATATGTGTTTTTAAATGATAATACAGTTACGTGACAATAGTCATTATTGGTAACTAGCATCGTCCTAGTAATTGATATATTTCGGCAGATGTCACTACGCATCAAATCGCCAGATTTTCATATAGTTGTAAAAATACTAAAAATGATTAATTCGCATTATATAGGTTTAATAAATCCATAGCTGATTTCGATTTCGATCCATTACAATTATTCACATATATTTGCAGCTTATATTTTTTTATAAATGATAATTAATACATATTGTGAGGAAAAACTGAGGATATAACTTAAGAATAGAAACAAGATTCACTGAGATTTCAGCAGAAGCAGCACTATTTTTTTTTACTTATATATCTTAATTTTTAAAAAATCCTTCAATGTAATACCCAAAGAATGACTGATTTGCATAGTTTAGATTTATAATTATCGAATCTAAAAACGCGAGCTCAACATACTGCTATTCAAATATGTCTATACGTTCAAACACATACATACATATTTTTTTTAGCGAAATTCAATATACATTTGAGGAAAAATAGAAGCAAAATAAGCTTAATTCAAGAATAATATAAGAACAAAAGTAGGACTCATATATTTAATTTAGATGCAGAAGAATAGCGAAGGCTGAAGCTCAAATTTATTTTATTTTTAAAAAAGCCTTTTGA